CATGTGCTCCTGGTGTTCCCTTAGGTCTGAAACCATGTTCCCAGACAGGACAGTTGACAGCTACCATAACCTTGCATTTCCCAAAATGTACCATGTAGACTCTTGGATACACAAGGTAATTTTAGAGCCACGTTAGGATGAGCCTTTTAAAAGTCATACATTGATTTTTGTTTCCCCACTGGCTGTTATAGAACAATTTTGTAAGTGATACGTATTTACGTGAGTATATTGAATAAGCACCGGCATCCCAAGTGTGAGCTTTTCTGCTCATCCATCCTCTTCTCCATTCTTGTAGGCTCTAAAGAATATTCTTCAGAGTTCATTCCTTCTTCTGCCATTGTGTTAATTTCTGCATTGTCACCAGCCACCAACCCAGGGGCTGGCAAACTTAAAGAGCCGAGCAGTCCATAGTACCTGAGGCTTTGTCAGCCAGGCAGGCTTCCTTCCAAACACTCAGCTCTGCCATTGCCCCATAAGCGCAGCAGTCACAACTAGAGACAATAGTCATAACTGTGCTTCTTTCTTACTTTTTCAGATGGGGTTCCATTTTTTTTCACCCAGGCTGGAGTGCAATGGCATGATCTTGGCTCACTGCAATCTCCACTTCCTGGGTTCAAGTGATTCTCCTGCCTCAGCCTCCCAAATAGCTGGGATTATAGGCGCCTGCCACCACACCTTGTTATTTTTTGTATTTTTAATGGAGATGGGGTTTCACCATGTTGGTCAGGCTAGTCTCCAACTGCTGACCTGTGTTTGGGCCAAGTAGGGCCAGTAGGACCCAGAACCTGATGTAGACTGGTGAGGCCAGAGCCTCTCTAGGCTGCTCAAAAAATCTGCGCTCAGGTCCTTGGTCTGCAGGGAGGACCAAATGCCTATCGACCTCACGAAAACATTGTTAGGGAACCCACAGTGTGAAACAGCTTGAGAAATAGAATCTGTGTCATATCCAACATTATTCATACTCATGATTGCACGACTGGGCCACCTGAACAGGAGGAACCAGAAGAGCACCCTCTTCACCTGCATGTCCAGATCAGTTCCCCTTTGGGTCACCAAGGGCATGAGGTGGAAGCAGGGGAGTCTGGGATAGGGGCAGGCTATGGTCAAGGGCAGTGGGGCTGGTGGGCGCTGGGCAGTGGGGGTGGTGGTGTTAGTGAAAAGTCTGGGGCAGGGCAGAGATCAGGAGGAACAGCATTCCAGCAGGGTTCAGAGACAGGTCAGTAGGTCGGCAGACACAGGAGTAGGTGGCTTGGGACTTAGAGGAGCAGTTGGAGTTGGAGGAGAAGGGCTCTGTTTTCCTCCAGTCTTCCTGTTTGGTGCTGCATTAGCACCCCACTGCACCCCCAACCCCTGTCTCTCCCTTGCCCTCACTCCCTGAGTCTTAGAACCCCTTCCTTATCTTCAGTACACACCTTCTTTTTTTTTTTTTTTTTCAGTCAGAGTCTCACTCTTGCCCAGGCTGGAGTGCTGTGGTGCAATCTAAGCTCACCACAACGTCCACCTCCCAGGTTTCACCATGTTGGCCAGGCTGGTCTCCAACTCCTGACCTCAGGTGATCCACCTGCCTCGGCCTCCCAAAGTGCTGGGATTACAAGCATGAGCCACTACGCCGGCTCCAGCACGCACCTTCTTAAGAACAGTTCCTTTCTGGATCCTTCCTAAGGTTCTGATTTCTAATCCTTCCTAACCCAGTTCACTGTCTGTCCACCCTGATACCCCCATTCTGCCTCACTTTCTCCTTTCCTGATGCCACCATTTCCCACAATCAGTCCTGGCCTCTGATTCCCGCCCTTTAGGTTCTAGTGTTCCTTGGGTCCTCCCTCTCCCTTGATCCTCTCTGATTGGGGTGGGAGTGTGAGCTGGAATTTAAGCCAGGCTTTATTGGAGTCCTGGGCCTGGATTCTGCATTGTGTCCCGCTGTGTCATTGCACCTTCTCGTTTCTGCTCTTTCTGCTGCTTCATCCTCTTCATATTCTAACTCGCCAGTGGATGCTGACCCCGCTAGTGGAGCGTCACTCCTTCCCCCTTGCTACTTCTCCATCTCCATCTCTCCATCTTCTGCTCCTGGCCTTTCCTGGCACGGGCTCGAGCTCTGAGCTCTTGCCCTTTTCCGGGACACCGTCCTGCTCCTCCTTGTCACCCGGGGCAGTGGCTGTGGGCTCCTCGTCCAGCTGCTGCTGGTCTGGGCCGCCCTGGTCAGTGTGACGGGGCGACAGCGCAGTTCACGTCCTGGATTGGCAGCAGCAGGTGCCTTGCGCTCGGCAACCCCTATAGGTTGGTGTGGGCGCTGCCTGGAGGTTGCTGCTGTGCTCGTTGGTGCCCAGCGCGCCCCGCCTGTGGCTTCCTCGTTGAGTCGCTACTGCCCTGCTCCAGGTTCCACTGGCTGAATCTTCTTGCGAGGTGCCTTCGCTTCTCAGGGAACCCAGCGGAGCAGCCCAGGAGGCTGCTGCCACACAGGTCGCCATATTCCCCGCGGTGCCGGATGGGTTCTGGCCTTAGGCCCCTCACCCCACTCCAGCCACCGCCTCTCCCTTCCGAGGGCACAAGGAGACGATGGAGGAACCTCCAGGGAGTAGATGGCCGCCGTTCCCCCAGCAGCGAGCAGGGCAGAGGAGAAAGACGCTAGGAAGCCGAAGGTTCTTGCCGGTCAAGGGTCGCCCAGGGCTGCGCCCCCTGATTCCTGCCCACGAGCAAATGCCGGGACCCTCCCTGCCAAGTTGCTCCCGAAAAGCTCTCGGGCCTACAGGGAGAGACACTTTCTTCCTCTCTGTGAGTCTGCAAACTCGGGACCAGGTATTTTCTGCATGTTCTTAAACAGGGTGCTTCAGTCAAAGGTTGATGATAGAACCACTCTTTCTGATTATCGCCTGCTGATACAGAGAACATATGAACATGAAAATAAAAATATTTATAAATAGTTTTTGCCAGAGGCTGTGGCTCACACCTGTAATCCCAGCACTTTGGGAGGCCGAGACGAATAGATCACAAGGTCAGGAGTTCGAGACCGGCCTGGCCAACATAGTGAAACGCGTCTCTACTAAAAAAAAAACACAAAAATTAGGCAGGCGTGGTGGCAGATGCCTGTAGTCCCAGCTGCTCGGGAGGCTGAGGTGCAAGAATCGCTTGAACACAGGAGGCAGCAGTTTCAGTGAGCTGAGATCACACCACTGCTGCGGGCCAGACTGGCAACAGAGCAAGATTCCATCTCAAAAAAAAAAAAAAAAAAGGATATTTATAGTTTCCAAACTTTGGAGGTATCAAGAACGGAGAGGAAAAACAAATGCTTCCACCCACCTTTGTTCACAAAATTGTGGTTTACCAAATCAGTGTAAATTATAGATGACTTCTAAGAAATACATTTCTTAAATCTAGAAAATAAAACAAGTAAAGGGCCGGGCACCGGGCGCAGGGCTCACACCTATAATCCCAGTACTTTGGGAGTCCCAGGCAGGAGGAGGGAGGGGGAACGAAGAGGGGAAGAAGGGGGTGGGATCACCTGAAATCAGAAGTTTGTGACCAACCTGACAAACATGGTGAAACCCCATCTCTACTAAAAATACAAAAATTAGCTGGGCGTAGTGGCACGTGCCTGCAGTTCCAGCTACTCAGGAGGCTGAGGCAGGAGAATGCGGGGAGCAGAAACTGCACCACTGCACTCCATCCTGGGCAACAGAGTGAGACTGTCTCAAAACAAACAAACAAAAAAAGTAATAAATCAAAAATGTTTTAAATACAAGTTATAAAAACATTATCTTAATAGATTTTTTGTTTTGCTTGTTCCTGCTTATCAGTTTTTTGAACCCTTAGGCTTCCTTACTAGAGTTCTAGAAATTGGTTTTTAGTTCATTGATTTTTATTTTTATTTTTGAGACTGCGTCTCACTCTGTCGCCCAAGCTGGAGAGTGGTGGCACAATTTTGGCTCACTGCAATCTCCACCTCCCAGATTCAAGTTATTGCCATGCCTCAGCCTCCTAAGTAGCTGGGATTACAGACATGAACCACCACACCTGGCTAATTTTTCTGTGTTTAGTAGACACGGGGTTTCACTGTGTCAGCCAGGCTGGTTTCAAACTCTTGACCACAAATGATTCACTTGCCTTGGCCTCCCAAAGTGCTGGGATTACAGGTGTCAGACACTGCACCCAGCCCATTGATTTTTGAAAAAATATGTATTTGTAATGTATTGAGGGGTTATAAGTGCGAGTTTCTCACATGCCTGTTTCACATAGTGGTGAAGCCTGGGTAGTTCATTGATGTCAGTTATCAGAAACCTGTGTTCAAGAGGGCTGCTTAGAGTTTTTTCCATAAAAGGCAAATTTGGGGGCAGGGCTCGGTGGCTCATGGCTGCAATCCCAGCACTTTGGGAGGCTGAGGCTGGTGGATCATGAGGTCAGGAGCTCAAGACCAGCCTGGCCAACATGGTGAAGCCCCATCTACACTGCCACCAGATAGCTGGGCATGGTGGCAGTCACCTGTAGTCCCAGCTACTTTGGAGGCTGAGGCAGAAGAATCACTTGAACCCAGGAGGCAGAGGTTGCAGTAGAGTAGGTGTCCAGCCTAGGTGACAGAGCAAGACTCTGTCTCAAAAAAAAAAAAGAAAAAGAAAATTTGGACTATTGCTGATTACAAATATTTTTAGAGTAGAATTCAAAATGGTAAATGTGGATGATGGAAACAGTAGTTATAATGAGAATTGATGAAACTTCCCAATTCACAAGAAAATTTAATTTCTTATTTTTATGTGCAGCATTTTAAGACAGTAACTGGAATCATGACTGACAGCATCACATCAGGACCACCAGCCCTTTTTTTGTTTGTTTTTGAAACGGAGACTCACTCTATTGCCCAGGCTGGAGTGCAGTGGAGTGATCTCGGCTCACCAGAGCCTCCTCTTCCTGGGTTCAAACAATTCTCCTGCTTCAGCCTCCTGAGTAGCTGAGATTACGACGTGCACCACCTTGCCTGGCTAATTTTTGTATTTTTGGTAGAGACGGGGTTTCACCATGTTGGCCAGACTTTTATAAATTTCATAAAATCTTCAGAATGCATTAATAACTTTTTTTTTTTTTTGAGATGGAGTCTCACTCTGTCACCAGGCTGGAGTGCAGTGGCACCATCTCCACTCACTGCAACCTCCGCCTCCCTGATTCAAGCAATTCTCCTGCCTCGGCCTTCCAAGTAGCTGGGACTACAGCATGTGTCAGCACGCCTGGCTAATTTTTGTATTTTTAGCAGAAGCATGATTTCACCAAATTCGTCAGGTGGGTCTTGAACTCCTTGACCTCAGTTAATGCACCTGCCTCAGTCTCCCAAAGTGCTGGGATTATAGGCATGAGCGACCATGCCAAGCCATTAATAACATGTTTATACACATATGACTTCAGCAAATATTTAGCATAACATTCAAAATTACAAATCATAACATCTTAAAATTGTATAAATGTATATAATTTTTGAAACATGTATATCAACAATATACCCATAAATGTAACTGAGATGAGATCTACTGTCACCTCGTCTGACAATGCCCTCCCATGCAGTATCACCACATTTGACAATGACCACCCATACAACCTGCCAAATAAATCTAATCATTTAATATCTCTACAAGATCAGAGATACATTCTTTAGACTCCCCGAGGGACCCAGCTGAAAAATCCCAAAGTTAATTTTAAACCAAAAATATTTGATTTAGGATTTTGATGCTGGTGAAACCCATCAAAGATATCAAGTTTGAAAACACTTTATCAGAAGAGACTCACAGGTCGCTTTTAAAAGAATATTCAGATAAAACATTGAATGATTGTGGTCACAAATTCGGTTTACTTTCTTCCGGTCTTTGAATATTTTTTCCAGTGGCAAATATTTGCTTCGGTTGTATTATAGTTAAAAGGAATGCTGGGAAACAAAAATAAGTATTCATTAGAATCAGTGATCCAGTCACGATCAATTTGCTGTTTGAATTTTGTTTTTTTTTTACAAAGTCATACTTTTGAAAACGTCCAGCTGTAAATTGAAATAGTCTCCAAAATCTGATTTTTTCCCCCTATTCTAAGGTGACCAGCTTTCCTAGAGTGAACCACACCACAAAAAAAAGATATGATATATATGTTTACATGTATGTGTTATTTTAACATAAAACATGTAAAAGAGCCATTTCTTTGAAATTATATATTAGTTTTCATAATTTACTTTGCAGCATCATAAATGCTCTTATTTTAAAAAGTAGGAGTAGTTAGTGTCAATTACTACTTATTAGTACAAATAATTAAGCACATATTTGAAGGAAATAACAATTTTAAAAATAAGGTTTTATTTTAAATTAGTTTTAGATTCACACAGAAATTGGGAAGAAAATGCATATTTCCCATGTAGACCCAACCGAGTTTCCCCTCTTATTAACATATCAACATATATCAGATATGTTATTAATATCTTTTTTTTTTTTTGTGATGGTGTTTTGCTTGCCCAGGCTGGAATGCAGTGGTGCAATCTTAGCTCACTGCAACCTCTGCCTCTCGGGTTCAAGTGACTCTCCTGCCTCAGTCTCTTGAGTAGCTGGGATTACAGGCACCTGCCCTCATGCCCGGCTAATTTTTGTATTTTTAGTAGAGAGGGGGTTTCACCGTGTTGGCTAGGCTGATCTCAAACTCCTGACCTCAGGTAATCCACTCGCCTCAGCCTCCCAAAGTGCTGGGATTACAGGCATGTGCCACCATGCCCAGCATACCCAGTTTTAATTGGGTTTTCAGTTTTAGGTTTTTTTTTTGGAGATGGAGTCTCCCTCTGCTGCCCAGGCTGGAGTGCAGTGGCACAATTTTGGCTCACTACAATCTCTGCCTCTTTGGTTCAAGAAATTCTCCCACCTCAGCCTCCCGAGTAGCTGGGATTATAGTTGCGTGCCACCATGCCTGGCTACTTTTTTGTATTTTAGTAAAGACTGGATTTCACTGTGTTGCCCAGGCTGGTTTTGAACTCCTGACCTCGTGATCTGCCTGCCTTGGCCTCCCAAAGTGCTGGGACTACAGGTGTGAGCCACTGTGCCTGGTCAGTTTAAAATTTTTAGTGTTCCTTTAAAAAGTTATTTGTGTATTTTCAGTATAGTTTTTAAAATCACATATGTATTTTGTAAATATCTTCTCACAGTTTGTCTATCTTTTTGTTCTCTGAATAGGATTTTTCACAGTAGAAAATTGAGTTTTATAAAGTCTGTGTTATGAATATTTTCATGAATTGGCTTTTGGTGTTGTGTGTTAAAACTCAACACCAAACCCAGTGTCACATAGATTTTCTTTTTGATTTTTTATAGTTTTGCGTTTTCAACTGTAATCTCTGGACTATTTTGAGTAGGTTTTTGTGTTTTAATTTGTGTGTACATTCATTTCATTCAACATAGCTTCCAAATAATTCTTCCTTTACCATTTTGGGAAGGATATAGTTATAGTGGGCTTCATTTCAGTTTGAATTTCCAAAATTATGACATTGAATAAACTGAATATTGAATTTTATAGGTATTTCAGGACAACTAGGAGGGGGCGCGTGTCCGCCGAGAAACTGTGAGCAACAGCGTCTGTGCTGAGCCCTGGCGCCACCAGAGGGCGCACGTACCCACTCCTGACCAACTTCCTTCTGAGGTGTCAGAAGCGCAAGGAGCTTTATGTTCCTCAGGGCAGCAGGAAGGTCGTGTCAACTTGGTGTCGTTTATTGGTGAGTAAAAAGCTTCCTGTCCATCGCCGTGAGTGCAGAGGAGAGAGCCTTTAAAGAGTACTCAGCAGAGGAAGAAATTCATCCAGAAAAATGAAACCCTCAAATCTCACTGTTTTGACTATACCCTGATATTGTCAATGTCCAAGACACAGTGGCTGTTAATATATATTCTCACCGTGGCCTCTAATATAGTAATCACACCATATCCTAACACCAATATAGTACCCACACCATGCCCTTACACTAATATATCCACACAGTAGCCTTAATACTGATAAATATAATAATATCTGCTAAGTGGACTCTGTTGACATTGAGACTTTTATAAGGGTGTCACAGCTTTGGCCTCTGTAATAGATTTTGATGAGGTGTCTGCTTTCCTGGCATGGTATTGATATGGTTGTTTTAAAAAGTTATTTACTTTCCAATAATGTCATACTTCTAGGAAACTTCCAATAGCAGTACAAAGTATAACCTGTTTCTTCTCTTAGATTCTGCAGCAGTTACTGCTGTACCTGATTTACAGTGTCCCAAAAAATACTTCAGTATATTTTACCCAAAGTACAGACACTCTCCCAGGTAACCACCACATAACCCCTAGATAAGGAAATCAGCATGCTTCCTACATGATAATTCAGTCTACAAATTCATTTCACTTTTACCTCCTGCCCCATCTGGGAGTATAATGTGTTTTTTCATTCTGATCCAGTTTTCTTTTCCTGGAACTGTTCCCTAGACTTTCCTGCATATTTGTCAGCTTGACACATTTAAAGATCATGCAAGTTTTTGTTTGAATACCTGTCTTCAGTTTTAGACCAGGCTGGCTAACATGGTGGAACCCCATCTCTACCAAAAATACAAAAATTAGCCAGACGTGGTGGCACATGCCTGTAATCCTAGCTACTCGGGAGGCTGAGGCATGAAAATCACTCTAACCAAGGAGACAGAAGTTGCAGTAAGCCAAGATTACGCCACTGCACTCCAGCTTGGGTGACAGAGTGAGAACTCACACACATAAAAAAACTGGATCTGGGACCTCTGGGCCTCCAGATTTATGAAAAATAAATATTTGTTGTTTCAGCCACGCAGTCTATGGTATTTTCTTATAGCAGCCCAAGCAGACTAAGACATAGGTGAAGAACTAAGACATAAATGTAAGTCCCTTGGCTCCACAGCTGAAGGCATATTACATGGGATAACACAGTGTTTCATCATGAGATAACGCATCTGTTGTCATGTTTTCTCTTGCTGCTTTTACAATCCTATGGGCTGGGCATGGTGGCCAACGCCTGTAATCCCAGCATTTTGGGAGGCTGAGGTGAACGAATCACCTGAGGTCAGTAGTTCAAGACCAGCCTGGCCAACATGATGAAAACCCTGTCTCTACTCAAATTCAAAAATCGGCCCGGTGTGGTGGTGCACACCTGTAATCCCAGCTACTCAGGAGTTGAGGCACAACAATTGCTTGAATCTGAGAGGTAGAGGTTGCAGTGAGCCAAGATCACACCACTGCACTCCAGCCTGGGCAACAAGAACGAGACTCTATCTCAAAAAAAAAAAAAGGATCCTTTCTTAATCTTTGACCTTCGGGAGTTTAGTTATTAAATGCCCTGGTGTAGTCTCCATCCTGGGCCACCTAGGCTATTGATAGCTTCTGCTCCTTTTCCTCATTATCAGACAGGATGCCTTCCTGCATGAACAGAAACAGATTCCAGCCAACTGAAGCAGAAAAGGAGTTATTGAAAGGTTATTAGGTAGCTCACAGAATCTCCTGGAGGGCCAGAGAACAAGGCTGGGATCTTTCACTGCAAGAGCAGCTCCAAAATTCGCCATATAGAACTGGCTCTATGAATACATGCCAGCTGCTGCTCTGGAGAAGTGTTACCACCACAGGCACCATCCAGATGGCAAAGGCCAGGTCCTGGACTCTGTGCTGGTCATGGCTCACACTGATTCTGCATGGCTTGCTCCTTTGCCTCACTAGCTTCCAATTCAAAGTCTGTCTAAGGCAGGTGGTCTGATTTGCAGCACTTAGGCCGTATGCCATGTCTTGCTTGCAGGGGGCTCTGGAGAATTGGAGTCTGGCATTTTCAGTTCCGGTGATAGGAAACTGGCTTGGTTTTTAATCAACTAGCTTGGTTATTAATCAACTAGCACTAATGCATTAGTGCTATTTGATTGTGCTGGTTGATTAATACTGGCACAGTAGTTAAAGTATGTGCTAAGAAGAATGCAGGGAGTAGTTTACTTAGAATTTCAGCTTTGGGTGTTGATGGTGAAGCGGGAATATTTTTTCCCTGAGTTGTCCCGGGGAGTGATTCTCCATTTCTAGTTTACAAGACCAGGGCATTAAATTATACTACAACCATCTCATCCTGTGATGAGAAATTCTGGATGGTTCACACCTGTAGTCAGCTACTCAGGAAGCTGAGGCAAGAGAATCACTTGAACCTGGGAGGTTGAGGCTGCCATGAGCTATAATTGTGCCACTGCACTCCAGTCTGAGAGACAGAGTAAAACTCCATCTCTGAAAATAAAGTAAAAAAAAAATTTAAAAATATTTTAAAAGATGAGGAATTCACCAAACATGAAGAAGAGGTCAGCCCAAAATGGTAACACTAATGTGTTATCCCATCTTTTCTTCACTCTCTCTGTACCTCTAGGCCATCCACCTCTGAATTCCAATTTTTTTTGTTTGTTTAAAACTAGGACAATACTGCTTTCATTTTCTTTATTTTAAAAAACTGCAACCTAGTGATTGTATTGGTCATAAGCATGATTGTTGTTGCAATGTGCTGCTTACAATGAAGGACAGTAAGCAAGCTAGGGATTCTGCCTGCCACTTCCAGCCTTTCCTCTTTTTACTTCAATAGACGTCAATGATAAATCAACCTTATGTACAATTTCTTACAACTCTTTGTATATTTTGTAGAGGTGGGATTTTGCCATGTTGCCCAGGCTAGTCTCAGACTCCTGAGCTCAAATGATCCACCCACCTTCGCCTCCCAGAGTGCTGGGATTGCAGGCGTGAACCACTGCTCCCAGCCTTTGCATTTTATCTGGGTTATGTATATAAGTATAGATGTCAGATTTTTAAATTTTTGTCTGTTGCTTGGTTGATTGGTTTTCTTGTTTTGGTTGCCCAACATCTAAATCCAACCCCTTCCTTGTAGTAGAACTCTCGACCATCTGAGCCTTGGAAAGAAGCAGATCTTGTCTCCTACTATGGAAGTGAAACAGTGCAGGTATTTGCTTTCCAGCACGCCCTTAACAGCGAGGGCATGTACATATGATATAGGCTCAATCAATTGGGTATATCCTCTTAGAACTTTAAGAAACAAGTGCCAGAAAGAAGCAGAGACAGTGTTCGTTTTGGCAGAGGTGGAGGCAGTGGCAGTAACACTAGGTGTAAGGCAGCAATGCCAGCAGAGCAATGAGTGGCCTCTGGGTCCAGGGTTCAGGACAGGAATAGAGGTGGCAGTGGTGTCTTTACTGAATTGGTTCCATAGCAAATTTGGGCTAAGGTAGTAACTGTCTTGGCTCCTTTAGTTTCTGCCATTTTTTAAACAGCTTTATTGAAATATTAAGTTGGTGCAAAAATAATTGCAGTTTTTGCTATTAAATGCCTTACAATTTGCCCTTTTAAAGTGTATAATTCCATGATTTTTAGTATATTTACAAATATTTAACACTATAACCATACTCAATTTTAGAAATTTTTATCATCTCAAAAAAAAAAAAAATCCATATCCTTTAACTATCGCCTCCTACCCCACAGCCCACCCCCACCCACCCCCAGCCCCGAACAACCACTGAGCTCCTTTCTGTCTATAAATTTCCCTATTCTGGACTTTCACATGAATGGAATAATATAGCCTGTAGTCATTTGTGACTGTCTTATTTTACTTAACATGATGTTTTCAGGGTCCATTTATGTTGTAACTTATATCAGTACTTCATTCCTTTTAAGGCTGAATCATATTCCACTGTATACCATATTTTGTTTATTCATTCATCTGTTGACAGACATTTGGGTTGTTTCTATGTCTTGACTGTTACGAACAATACTGCTGTAAACATTCATATACAAGCTTCTGTGTGGGCATATTTAACCTTCCTTATACATTGATGTAGAGAATGAAATCCAGAGAGGGAAAGTGACTTGCTTAAGGTCACACAGCTAATTTTTGTAATTTTTTGTGGCAACAACTGTTTCATTTTCTGCCCATTTGTTGACCTTAATTCTTCAGGCTTTCTGGTGACTCCATGAGTTACAGAAAATTATCTTAACAAATTTGTTTCTTATTCAAATAAGACAATATTGACTTCTGTTCTTTATAACCATGAGGCCTTTACTGCTTTCTTTGGGGCTAAGTTCTTAGTCCCAGGACAAAAGCATTAGCTATAATTGGCTAATGTGACACACTTCCCAGTTAACCTTCAGTGTTGAATTTAACCTTCCTTATACATTGATGTAGAGAATGAGATCCAGAGAAGGAAAGTGAATTGCTTAAGGTCACACAGCCAGACAGTGGTACAGCTAAGACTAGAATCTAGAACTCCTTATGCCAATTTAATGTTCTTCCCTCTACACTAGGCTTCCCATCATTAACTCAACAACTGTCTTTTAAGCTCTGTGGCCATAGGATATATGGAAGAAGCAGGGGAGACAGAGTCCAAAGACATGATTCCTGCTCCTGGCTTTGCCACTTCCTACCTTTGTGGCCTTGGACAAGTTATTCTGTGTCTCTAGGTCTGACCTATCTCATCCAAAAACCAGGAGTTGGAGATGGGAGGCTAGAGGGGAGAGGGGTTGGATTTGAGGGAACAATCTCAAATGCCTACAACCTCCAGAGGGTGTTACTCTTTCACTTATTCAATTATATTTTATTCACTTATAATTTATTCCCTTCTTTTTTTGAGATGGGGTCTCACTCTATTGCCCATGCAGTGGCTCTATCTTGGCTCACTGTAACCTCAACCTCCTGGGCTCAAGGGATCCTTCCACCTCCTTCTCCTGAGTAGCTGGACCTATAGGCATGTGCCACCACTCCCGGCTAATTTTTGTAATTTTTTGTAGAGACAGGGTCTTGCTATGTTGCCCAGGCTGGTCTCAAACTCCTGACCTCAAGTGATCCTCCAACTTCAGCCTCCTAAAGTGCTGGGATTACAGGTGTGAGCCATTGCACCCAGCCTATTCCCTCTCAATGACAATTTATAACAGGAACATTTATTTGGATTCCAAGAACAAATTCCATTGAAATTTTAGTCCTTTTTTCCATTTTGTTGTTTTTTTCATCTCACATCCTTTTCATATTCTTCTCATAGTTTTAATGTGCTTTATTTTTGTAACAGCATCTTAGGTTGTGTTTGTGCAACACGAACACACTGTACTTGCTTCATTTTCACAAGAAATGTGTTCTTTCCCCCCCTCCCCCTTTCTGGAAACATTCGGTCCTCTCAATCTAGGTCTTATTTTCTTACTTTTTTTTTGTGACAACGTCTGGCTCTGTCACCTAGGCTGGAGTGCAGTGGTGCAATCTTGGCTCAATGTAACTTCCATCTCCCGGGTTCAAGCAATTCTCGTGCCTCAGCCTCCCAAGTAATGCCAAGTTAATTTTTGTATTTTTAGTAGAGACAGGGTTTCACCATGTTGGCCAAGCTGGTCTCAAACTCCTGGCCTCAAGTGATCCACCCACCTCAGCCTCCCAAAGTGCTGGGATTACAGGCATGAGCCACCATGCCCAGCCTTATTTTCTTACTTTTGTTAAAGACATGATCAATAAATATTTCACACATTTAAAAAAATGGTTTAGGCTGGGTGCAGTGGTTCATGCCAGTAATCTCAGCACTTTGGGAGGCCAAGGCGGGTGGGTCACTTGAGCTCCGGAGTTCAACACAGGGAGACCCCTGTCTCTACAAAAAATAGGAACCTCAGCTGGTATGGTGGCACATGCCTGTAGTCCCAGCTACTCAGGAGGCTCAGGTGGGAAGATAGCTTGAACCCAGGAGGTAGAGGTTGCAGTGAGCTGTGATGGTGCACTGCATTCCAGCCTGGGTGGCAGAGTGAGACTTTGTCTCAAAAAAAACCTAAAAGAGTTATAAGAAAAATAATAGTACAACCATCTTGATCAATGGCAAAAGAACTTGGTCTAAGTGTTGGGAGAACACAGGGAATGATAAGGACCATGATAGAGCATAAGATATTTGGATTTTTTAAAAGCCTGAAATATGATTTTGCTAGGAAATCTCTTATTCTTTAAATTCAGGCAATTAATTCAATTAAGTTTGTCACACAGAGCATTTTCTAATTGTTTATTGAAGTCCCATCTTTGTTTTTATTCTTCATGGAGGAAGGAACGCCAGTAGCTCCTGATGGCAGATGGGAAAAGAAGAGGTGACTCTGCCATCTGCTGCTTACTGATGGTATGTACCCGCCAGTCCTTCAGTAGGATTCAGGTGCCACCCTTATAAAGGGTCAGCTCTGAAAGGCCTTGTTGGGAACATCTCCAGTATGTTCATTTGATGGTTGGGATATCAGAGACATGGAGGCCTTACATCCCAACAACTGGAAACCATGAAGCTGGCTCCAAGGTAAAGCCCACAGGCGGAATCTGTCCTCTGGTAGGCATCCGGCATGTGCTGCCACAGAGCTGAAAGTGTGGCTAGAGAAGGATGAGAGAAGAGGAAAGAGGACCACAGTGGGAGTTGAGTCACCAAGAAAGTTGGAAGCCATTGCAGAGCTCCAGGAACAGGGGCAAGGGCTGAGATAATTTTTTGTTATTAAAAAAGGAGAGGCCAGGAGTGGTGGCTCACGCCTATAATCCCAGCACTTTGGAAGGCCGAGGCAGGCAAATCACCTGAGGTCAAGAGTTTGAGACCAGCTTGGCTAACATGGTAAAACACCATCACTACTAAAAATACAAAAAATTAGCCAGGTGTGGTGGCGCATGCCTGTAGTCCCAGCTTCTCTAGAGGCTGAGGCAGGAGAATTGCTTGAATCCGGGAGGCAGAGGTTGCAGTGAGCTGAAATCACGCCATTGCATTCCAGCCTGGGCAACAAAAACGAAACTCCATCTCGAAAAAGAAAAAAAGAAAAAGGAGAGAAACCGGTGGATTTGAGAAAGAGCAAAAGAAAATCTGACTTGATAAGACATTGGATTCAGAGAATGAAGGGCTGGAACTGCAGGTGCCTGCCAGTGAACTGTACTTTGTATTACCAACTGATCATAGAACTTCAGTTTGATTATTCATTAACTTCCCGCCTATTTTGGCTTCCTACTGAAATCAGGACGTAAGAAATTTGTCACCGGGTAGACAATAAATGTTCCTCCCCACCCTCTGCCAGTCACCCCACTATACTTGGTAGGAATTCAGACGTCTGAGTGTGAGTCCCAAGTTCAGTCATTTTCTGGCTGTGTGACCTTGGAGAAAGTGACCAAACACTGGGGAGTTTAGTTTTCTCACATGAACAATGGGGCAATGGTAACAACGGCTCCCTTTAGGCTGAGCCAAGCTTCATACAAGCTAATGTCAGACATGTATCATCTTACTGAATTTTTGCAGCCCCAGGAAATAGGCATTATCATTACCCTCATTGTTCAAATGAGGACACTGAAACTCTGAGAAATGGAGTGGCTTGCCAAAGGTCATATAGCTAGAAAGTGGCAGAGCTGTCATTCCAACCCAGCCTCCTTAGCTCCAAAGCTTTAATGCTCTGGATCTCTGTCTCAGTGAGCTTTTGCTATAAAATGACCCACCCTGAAACACAGTGGCCTAAAACAACAATCATTTTGTTTAGTTCACAAATCAGTACAATTCTGATCTTGGCTGATTGAGCTGATCTATGCTGGGTTCCCACATGTTTGTGGACAGCTGGTGAGTTGGCTCAATCACATATTTGGTGATTGGCGGTTGGCTGGAGCACCCTGATGCTCTTCCATATAGCCTCTTATCCTCCAGCAGGCTAGCTTAGGCTCGTTGACTTGGGGGGCTCAAGATTCTAAGTGTAACAAGACAAAACAGGCCTCCAGCTCAAGCATGTTTTAAGTCACAGCAAATCACAAAGCCAAACCAGAGTCAGTGGGCAAGGGCCCTTTCAAAAGGTGTGGGTAGAGGGAAGGGGATCATTTGTGGTCATTTTTACAATCTGCCATAACTGCTAAGCTATAATCCCTATTTCACAGGGTTGATCACATGAGATAAAAAATGTGAATCAGCTTTGTGAACTTCTATAAAACACTGCCCAGAGAAATGGCATTGTTTAATTATTAGCACTGTATTCCAGTAGTACCTCAAATGCAACACGTCTGGTAATTATCTCCGTTTTCCAGATGAGGAAACTGAAGTCAGAGCTTAGGGAGCTTGCAGATGATCATACAGCCAGAATCTGAACAGAGATCTGTGTGTGCAGTGCCCTTTAGCAACTTGCTTCTTTATTGCATTGTTCTATAATCTGTTTTCCTGAGTAGGTCTTGTTTCTCCAACTAAAATTCCTTAAGGACTTATAATAGGACTTTTAATTCTTTTGTGGCCCATGGCAGGCACTCATTAAAGACTTTTCAAATGACTGAATCACTCATTCATTTATGTATTCCCTTTTTAAGCAAACATTTATTGAACACCAATTACTACATGGGTCCTGGACACTGAGAATACAGAAATAAATAACACAATATTCCTTTTTTTTTTTTTTTTTTTTTTTTTTTTTTTTTGAGACGGAGTTTCGCTCTTGTTACCCAGTCTGGAGTGCAATGGCACAATCTCGGCTCACCACAACCTCCGCCTCCTGGGTTCAGGCAATTCTCCTGCCTCAGCCTCCCGAGTAGCTGGGATTACAGGCGTGCGCCACCATGCCCAGCTAATTTTTGTATTTTTAGTAGAGACAGGGTTTCACCATGTTGACCAGGATGGTCTCGATCTCTTGACCTCGTGATCCACCCGCCTCGGCCTCCCAAAGTGCTGGGATTACAGGCTTGAGCCACCGCGCCCGGCCTAATATTCCTTTTCTTAAGAAACTCACCTAGTTAAAAATAAAATCAACTTGACATTGTAATCTAGCATGATAGAACCTGATGGTTATGAGGACAAAGAGAAGGAGCTCTAAACTAGCCTGGAAGAGAAGACACCTGCCTTCTTTATGGCTGAGGACACTAAGGAGGGTACATCTGAAGAGAGCACAGCATATGCAAAGACTTGTGGGAAATAATATGGTGTGTGCCTGGACTTACCAGCAGTCTGTGTTGCTGGAGCATAGGTAAGAAGCAGCAAGGGATGAGAAGTGAGGTTGAAGGGATAAGAAGCTCAAACTTGATCTCTATTTTTGGAACACTGTCTTGCTCTGTCACCGAGGCTGGAGTTCAGTGGTGTGGTCACGGCTCACAGAAGCCTCAAATTCCTGGGCATAAGCCAACCTCCCACCTCAGCCTCCCCTGTAGGTGGGACCACAAGTGCATGCTACCATGCCTGACTCATTTCTTTATTTTTTTGTAGAGTTGGGGTATGACTATGTTGCCCAGGCTAGTTTCAAACTCCTGGGCTCCAATGATCCTGCCACCTCAGTCTTTCAAACTGTTCAGATTACAGGTATCAGCCACAGCACCCAGCCTCAAACTTGATCTCAAACTGAGATGTACCACTAGGTAATAAAAGCACATTCACACCAAGACTCATATGCAAATGTTTTAGTACCAAAACTGGAACTTATCCAACATCTATTGTCTGGTGAATAAATGAACAAAATATGGTACATTGATACAATAAAATACTACTCAGCAATTAAAGGTAATCAGGGTCAGGTGCAGTGGCTCACGCCTGTAATCCTAATACTTTGGGAGACCAAGGTATGTGGATCACCTGAGGTCAGGAGTTCCAGACCAGCTTGACCAACATGGCAAAACCCAGTCTCTGTTTAAAATACAAAAACTTTGCTAGGCATGGTGGCAGGCACCTGTAATCCCGGCTACTCAGGAGGCTGAAGCAGGAGAATCGTCTGAACCTACAGAGCAGAGGTTGCAGTGAGCTGACATTGTGCCACTTCACTCCACCCTGGGCTAAAATTAGCTGGATGTGGGCACATGCCTATAATCCCAGTTACTCAAGAGGCTGCAGCAGGAGAATCACTTGAGCCCAGGAGGCAGAAGTTGGCAGTGAGCCAAGATCACACCACTGTACTCCAGCCTGGGTGACAGAGTGAGACACCATCTAAAACAAAACAAAACAAATTCAAATTTATTTTCTCACAGTTCTGAAGGCTAGAAATCAAGGTGTTGTCAGAGTTGATGTCTTCTGAAGCCTCTCATTTTGGCTTGCAGCTGGCCATCTTCTCTCCATGTCTTCATATGGTCTTTCCTCTGCACATGTACGAGTCCTCATCTCTTCTTATAAGGACACCTGTCATTAGATTAATACCCACTCTAATGCCCTATTTTTAACTTAAGTACCATTTTAAAGACTGTCTCCAAATACAGTCATATTCTCGGGTACTGGAGGTTAGGACTTTGACATATGAATTTGAGAGGGACAAAATTCAGCTCAAAACAAGTCATAAACAAAGACTACATGTGTTATGGTTCCATGTGCATGAAGTTCCTGTTTTTATTTTTTAATTTTTTGTTGTTGTTGTTACAGGATCTTGCTTGGTTACCCTGGCTAGAATGCAGTGCCACAATCGCAGCTCACTGCAGCCTCGACCTCCCAGGTTCAAGTGATCCTCCCACCTCAGCCTCCTGAGTATATCAGACTACAGGTATGTACCACCATGTCCAGCTAATTTGTTTATTTTTTTTTGTGGAGACGGGGTCTTGCCATGCTGTCCAGGCTGGTCACAAACTCCTGAGTTCAGGCTTTCCTTCTGCCTCAGCCTCCCAGAAGTGCTGGAATTACAAGCATGAGCCCGGCTTAATTTTTCAAATTTTTTGTAGAGAGAGGGTCTGTGTTACCCAGACTGATCTTGAACTCATGGAGTCCAAGACCAGTCTGGAGGAGTTCAAGATCAGTCTGGGTAACACAGCTATCCTTCCACTTTGACCTCCCAAAGCACTGGGATTACAGGTATGAGCCACTATGCCCAGTGTGTTGCATGAAATTTTTAGAGCAGACAGAATTATAGAGACAGCAGGTTAGTGGTTGTTTGGGGCTAAGGGGCGAGAGTAGGGATTGACTGCATAAGTGGGGAATGAGGCACAAGGAAACTTTGGGGATGATGGAAGTGTTCTAAGATTGGATTTGGGTGATGGGTACGCAAGTATAAATTTACTAAAATGCACCTGACTGTATACTTAAAATGGGTAAATTTTATGGTGTGTAAATTATTTATCAATAAAGTTATTAAAATAAAGCAGTAGGGGGGCCATGGAAGGAGTTTCACCTGGGGTGGGGTGTGGTAAAGGACAGTTTAGCATTTAGAACCATCTTTCTTTTTTTTTCTTTTTTTTTTGAGATGGAGTCTTGCTGTGTCTCACAGGCTGGAGTGTGGTGGTGCAATCTCGGCTCACTGCAACATCTGACTCTCAGGTTCAAGCAGTTCTCCTGCCTCTGCCTCCCAAGTAGCTGGGATTATAGGCATGCACCACCATGCCTGGCTAATTTTTATATTTTTAGTAGAGATGGAGTTCCACCATGTTGGCCAGGCTGGTCTTGAAGTCTAACCTTAAGTGATCCCCCCACCTTGGCCTCCCAAAGTGCTAGAATTACAGGCATGAGCCACCGTGCCCAGCCTAGAACCATCTTTCTAGTGATGAATGTGGAAGACACATTGAAAGAGGTAGAACTGGAGACGGGAAGACCAGCGGGGAGGCTGAGAGAGGGCCAGGCCTGTCCTCAGCGAGAGGCAGTAAGGATGGGGGCAGACTTGGCACCTGCTCTTAGACAGGTGATCTGTGGGAAATGTGGTTTCTGGGAATTGCCACAGATGGAGGCCAGCTTCCTGGAGGAGGAAATGCCTCGTCAAAGTGACCAGCAGGCAGGGTGCGGTGCTTCATACCTGTAATCCTAACACTTTGGGAGGCCGAGGTGGGTGGATCACCCGAGGTCAGGAGTTTAAGACCAGCCTGGCCAACATAGCAAAACCCTGTCTCTACTAAAAACAAAAATTAGCCGGGTGTGGTGGCAGGCGCCTGTAATCTCAGCTATTCAGGAGGCTGAAGGAGGAGAATTGTTTGAACCTAGGGGACAGAGGTTGCAGTGAGCCGAGGTCATGCCACTTCACTCCAGCCTGGGCTAAAGAGCAAGATTCTGTCTTGAAAAAGAAAGTGCCCAACAGGTGGATGGTCACTTTGTCTGGCTTAATGTGCTTCTCAAAGGCCGAGATGTATTGACAGGGGCAGAGGATATATTTCTGGGTATGAATTAGCTCAGAGAACAATGAGGGGTAGGGGCGTTCATCAGAAACCTAACCTTCCAGGATGAAAAAATGAAGGCATTCCTCACTGCCCTGGTATCCTGCACTTCCAGCCCCTTCTGGCCATGTCTGTGCCAGGCTCCAGCTGGAGCAGGGACCAGTGATGAATTAGACATGAGCCTGGTCTTCAGGAGCTCACAGCAAGCTCAGTGAGAGTGATATGTAAGGTATGGATGCCTCTTTAATTCTTTTAGCAACTGGTGTCAAAGTATCCTGAGAAGAAATTAGGATAATCTATGGTAAACTGCCCTATGGCCGCCTGGTACTTGGGTAGAGAAAGGGTGGGATTGGGTTGTATGAGACACACATATACACACATATGCACACACACGTGCACCTGCACACACACGGACGTGCACACACATGGACTAGCACACAGGCACACACATGTACAAACATGAATTAGACATGAGCCTGGTCTTCAGGAGCTCACAGCAAGCCCAGTGAGAGTGATATGTAAAGTATGGATGCCTCTTTAATTCTTTTAGCAACTGGTGTCAAAGTATCCTGAGAAGAAATTAGGATAATCTATGGTAAACTGCCCTATGGCCGCCTGGTACTTGGGTAGAGAAAGGGTGGGATTGGGTTGTATGAGACACACATATACACACATATGCACACACACGTGCACCTGCACACACACGGACGTGCACACACATGGACTAGCACACAGGCACACACATGTACAAACACATGTGCATGCACACACACTTGTGTGCGTATGCTCCTAACAAGGGGAAGGGGGAAGACTAAAATACCTTGGGCTGAGAAGCTGGCTGAAACAAGGGAATTTTGGAGAGGAGAGACCTCAAGTAGGAAATCTTAGGTGTAAATTATGTGAACTGTGTGGTGTACCCCTTCCCCCCACACTCCTCACATCTTTATTATACTACCCAAATCCCCAAATGCCTGATGGGATTGGATATTTTGTGAAAATGAGAAGCTGAAACAGAATCTCACCCAGCCAGATGAGAAGCAGCAGCACTGTCTGGACCGTGTACAATCAGCAGAAGGCTGTGAGACAAATGCCAGGAAGGAGGCTCTAAAGCTTCCAGATACAAAGGAATGGAGCGGAGTCAAAGACAATATTTCAGGCTGCAGCAGAAGCAGCAAGCGAGGCATGTGGCTGTGAGAACATGTGCTGTAGGATGATGCTGGCGCTACTGCAGTTTGACAATGCTGAAGAGGGAGATGAAAGAGGGCCCAGACCCTGAAGAACCTTGAACACTCCTGTCTTCTCTACTGAGAAATTGAGACTTGCCAGGCACGGTGACTCACACCTGTAATTCCAGCCTTTTGGGAGGCTGAAGTGGGCAGATCATTTGAGGTCAGGAGTTTGAGACCAGTCTCTACTAAAAATATTAAAAAATTAGCTGGGTGTGGTGGTGCATGCCTATAGTCCCAGCTACTTGGGAGGCTGAGGGAAGAGAATCGCTTGAGCCTGGGAGATAGAGGTTGCAGTGATCTGAGATTGTGCCACTTCAGTCCAGCCTGGGTGATAGAGACTCTGTCTCAAAAAAAAAAAAAAAAAAGAAAGAAAGAAATTGAGACGATCCTAAAATCAACAGGGAACCACTGAAGGGTTTTAAGCAGGAAGTAATCATCAGATCTGTGTTTCAGAAACATCATCCTGGCCAGGAGTGGTGGCTCACGTCTGTAATCCCAGCATTTTGGGAGGCCAAGGTAAGGGGATCACAACGTCAAGAGATCGAGACCATCCTGGCCAACATGGTAAAACCCCATCTCTACTAAAAATGCAAAAATTAGCTGGGCATGGTGGTGCACACCTGTAGTCCCATTTACTCGGGAGGCTGAGGCAGGAGAACACTTGAACCCAGGAGGCGAAGGTTGTAGTTAGCCAAGATCGTGCCATTGCACTCCAGCCTGGTGACAGAGCGAGACTCTGTGTCAAAAAATAATATAAAAGAAAAGAAAAAGAAAAAAAGAAACATCATCCTAGAACTGCTGTAAAAAGATGAACCAGGGCCATGGAGGGCAGATTGAAGGAGAGATGAGGCTAGAAAAGATGAGGACGAGCAGGCATTTGCTTTATTAGCAGAAAAACAACTTAAAAGAAAAGACTAATGATAGGAGGGCCTGAAATAGAGCAGGTACAAGGAGAGTAGCGGATTGGTGGAGGCATCATAGAGCAAGGGGAAATGAGGGAAGTCAGTTGGGGAAGCCCGCTATCTGATTCTGTCTTTGGAAGAAAATACTGAAAGTTAAGATATTTCAAATTAGTCAACCCCAAACATATGAAGTGTTTACCAAAATACTGTGTGTCAAGGTTGTATGTACAGGAATGTGTGAAGCCTCCCTCTGGGGTATCCAGCAGCAGTGCTCTTTGCAGCTCTCAAGCCTGTTTAGGACCTGGGCTCGTCACCTCTCTGCCCTCATTTCTGATCACTGGACCTTTGAAGGGAGCTGGATTTCCCCGTTAGCTTATCTGCAATGACCATTTGATAACAGACAATAGTCATTGCAGTGGTGCAAGGAAAAGTAGACAACGCCTTCCACAAACAATATTCTGTAGCTCAACAAAAGGGACTATAGAGCAGAACAATATTTAATTCAATTTATCCACCCATCCATCTTTTCATTCAGGTATTCAGTTTCTAGTCAGTAAATATTTGCTAAGGACCTGTCCATTCCAGTGTTAGCCAAGCAGGGTGCTGGGAACCAAGGATGAAAAGGCCTTTGAAGAATTCCCATTCCATATCCCCTCCTGCAGATTCCAGCCTTCAATTCCTCCAGTCGGGCATTCCTGCCTGACAACACTCTAGATGGAGCAGACTCCACATGACCATCCTCAACCCCTTCCACCTCTCCATTTCCACGTAGTTAATTGGCCAGTTGTCTTCACCTTCTATCTTCAGTTCTCACTCTTTACTCCTTAAATGACTGAACTCTGAGTGCCCATCACTGCTGCAGCTTATGAAGACCAAATTCAATGAATTCTGTGTGTGTGTGTGTGTGTGTGCATGTGTGTGTCTGTGTGTGTCTGTGTGTGTGTGTGTGTGTATGAGAGAGAGAGAGAAAGAGAGAGACAAAGAGAGTTGGAGTCTTACTCTGTTGCCCAGGCCGGAGTGCAGTGGTGCGATCTTGGCTCACTGCAACCTCCGCCTCCTGGATTCAAGCAATTCTCCTTCCTCAATCTCCTGAGCAGCTGAAATTATAGGCGCCCACCACCATACCCAGCTAATTTTTGTATTTTTTAGGAGAGATGGGATTTCACCATGTTGGCCAGGCTGATCTTGAACTCCTGACCTCAGGTGATCCACCTGCCTTGGCTTCCCAAAGTGCTGGGATTACAGGCATGAGCCACCACACCCAGCTCAATGCAATCCTTTTAATGCCTACCCAACACCATTTTGGGGAAGCATTTGACACTGTTAATAACTCCCTCCTTCAGACTCATGTCTTGTTTCCACACTGAGTTCTCCCAGTGCCCCCTCTCCCTCTCAGTTCCCCTTTTAGGCTTTTTCTCCCACGCATGTCCTTTAACTGCTAGTGTTCCCTAGTGTTCTGCCTTCAGCTCTGTCCCTGGGTGATCTAGTCTCCACCTTAACATAGCCTCAGTTGTTACCTATAAGTTGTGGATCCCCAATCTAAGCCTGCATCTAAGCACAGACATGTCCCATAGCCTATTGGACATCTCCAGTTGGGTATACCTTGTTCATTTCCTCACTTATAACATGGTCTTTTAACTTATCTGTCTCCAACCCAGGCCATAGGTCTCTTGTATACTATTGTATCTCATAGTGAACTCTAAACAGAAACTCAGTGAACAATTGAGGAATGAATGAATGAGAACTTGTCCAAGAGGAACCTGTCCACGGGCTGCTTAGTATCCTGAAAAGAAATTGTGATAGATTATCTCAGATTTTAAAAAACACAAGAACTGAAATAAGTTGAGCAAATCAGACTGAGCCATTTAGGAATTACAAAATGGGGAACTGTTAAGAAAATCTGTAGTTAGTGATGGGCCAAAAGCTGGACATGGTGGTTGAGATGCGCCATAGCAACTATGGCTGTGTTTACATGAAAATTATGAGGAAACAGAAACTGTGGTTAAGCAGAGAAGAACATAGAGCAGTTATACAGAAAGAAGCAATGATGTCAAGACACAATGAAGCAAAGAGAGCAGCTTACTCCATCAAAGACTGTGTCTGGAACAGCCCTTGCCCTACTTTACCTGACATGAAAGCTGAGCCCACACAGCAGCTCCTCAGGAAGTCTCCCTGACCAGCAGTGTTTGGAGGCAGAAATCAATGTTCTCTGAAAAAAGGATCATAAGCTTCTTTCTAGCCCTGAATGCCAATTCCACCTAACACACATTGTAAGAATTCAGAGGCCAGGCGCAGTGGCCCACACCTGTAATTCTAGCACTTTGGAAGGCCAAAGTGGGTGGATCATAAAGTCAGGAGTTCAAGACCAGCCTGGACAGCATGGAGAAACCCCATCTCTACTAAAAATACAAAAATTAGCTGGGAATGGTGGCGTGTGCCTGTATTCCTAGCTACTTGGGAGGCTGAGGCAGGAGAATCACTTGAATCTAGGAGATGGAGGTTACAGTGAGCCGAGATCACGCCACAGCACTCCAGCCTGGGCAACAGAGCAAGACTGTTTGAAAAAAAAGAAAAGAAAAGAAATGATGCACTTGTGACAAAACTTTCCATAGCCAGTTTCCCATTATGTTCACTTTTAACATCACTACCCCGAGCACCCTCCCAGCCCCCAAGGGAAGGGAGAAAGGAAAAAATAAATACAAAGCATATGCAAGGTGGGGATGGGAGGTCCTCCTGCTCTTTTTCTGAATGTCTGAGGCAGCAAAGGTAGAAATGTGAACCTCTGGTGAGCGAGCTGAGGAATAAACAGGCTGGGATGTGAGTGTGGCTGGGAGTATGATGGGGTGATGTAGGTGTGGAACAGGAAAACCAGTATTGCAGTGTCCTCTTGGCTCACCCACTTCATTTTTGTAACTGAGGGATTTTACATTGATTTTTTATGTGTGTGTATCTTGCATAGACTGCAAGATACACATGTTCTCATAAAACTTTATGAGAACCTTAAAAAATGCTTTTATTTTTGAGATAGGGTCTTGCTTTGTCACCCAAGCTGGAGTGCAGTGACAAGGTCATATCTCACTGCAGCCTTGACTTCCTGGATTCCAATGATCCTCCTGCCTCAGCCTCCCAAGTAGCTAGGAGTACAGGCACAAGCCACCACACCTAGCTATTTTTTCTTTTTCTTTTTTTGTAAAGATGGGGTTGCCCTGTGTGCCTAGGCTGGTCTCAAACTCCTGGACTCAAGCGATTCTCCCACCTCAGCCTCCCAAAGTGTTGGGATTATAGGCATGAGGCACTGTGCCTGGCCTAAACTCTTTTTGAAAAAGAAGAAATACAGGCTTGTGATGGATTGTTAAAAGCTGTAATAAAGACTGCACTCTGACCAGGTGTAGTGGTTTACGCCTGCAATCCCAGAACTTTGGGAGGCTGAGGTGGGCAGATCACTTAAGGCCAGAAGTTTGAGATAAGCCTGGCCAACATGATGAAACCCTGTCTCTACCAAAAACACAAAAATTATCCAGGTGTGGTGGCGTACAACTATAGTTCCAGCTACTCAGGAGGTTAAGTCATGAGGATCACTTGAACCTGGGAGGTGGAGGTTGCAGTGACCCGATATTGTACCACTGCACTCCAACCTGGGCAATAGAGCAAGACTCTGTCTTCAAAACAAAACAAACACAACAACAACAAAAAAAACAGCGCTCTGATTTCATTTCTTATATATTTTGTCTAATGTGAAAGGAAGGATTACATGGTGTATGCCTGGATACCCAAGTCCCAAGTGTTTCCCTAATTTCCTCTGATCTTTGGGCTAGTTGAACTGCCTCCTGTTGTCTCTCATGGCACCCTGTGATTCCCTCACACTGTATTGTTGTTTACCCTATACAGACTGTAAACTCCCAGAGATGAAGACCATGCTGTGTTCCCATTAATCATGTAGAGCCTGGAATACAAGAGGCCTTTAGCAATGTTTGTTGAATGAATGCGTGATATAATTAGTAAATACATTTGTGTCAACAAGAAATATGTTTGTATTAATTACTTCTTTTTATGTTTGTTTTGTTTTGTGTTTGATACAGGGACTCACTCTGTTGCCCAGGCTGGGGTGCAGTGGCAGGATCTGGGCTCACTGCAACCTCCATCTCCCGGGTTCAAGCCATCCTCCCACCTCAGCCTCCCAAGTAGCTGGGATTACAAGCATGAGCCACTACACCTGGCTAATGTTTGTATTTTTCAGTAGAGACAGGGTTTTGCCATGTTGGCCAAGCTGGTCACAAACTCCTGGCCTCAAGTGATCCGCCTGCCTTGGCTTCCCGAAGTGCTGGGATTACAGGCATAAGCCACTGAGCCTGGCCTTAAGATTACTTCTTAATCTTTCATTCCTTAGTTGACCTGCTACCCTGCTTGGAATGTTACCTCAAATAAATCTGTGGTAACCCTGAAGGCCTGGGCAATAAGAGCAAAACTCTGCCTTAAATACATACACACACACACACACACACACACACACACACATTTTTTAATATTTTGTTTGTTTTTTATATATTTTTAATATATTTTGTTTGGTTTTTTGTTTGAGACAGAGTCTCAAGTCAATAAACATTTAAAAGAAGCTATTAGATGCTAGTGGTGGTGCTGTCATTATTATTATCATATTAGGATGAGGCTAGTTCTTTTTTTTTGGCGGGGGGGGGCGGGGACAGAGTTTGCTCTTGTTGCCCAGACTGGGGTGCAATGGCATGATCTTGGCTCACTGCAACCTCTGCCTCCCAGGTTCAAGTGATTCTCCTGACTCAGCCTTCCAAGTAGCTGGGATTACAGGTGTCCACCACCATGCCCAGCCAATTTTTGTATTTTTAGTAAAGATGGGGTTTCACTATGTTGGTCAGGCTGGTCTCAAACTCCTGATGTCAGGTGATCCACCCATCTTGGCACCCCAAAGTGCTGGGATTATAGGTGTGAGCCACAGCCCTGGCCATGGATGAGGCTAGTTCTAAAGTCCTACTTAAAGTCCTACTTAGAGGCCTACTTAAAGTCCTGCTTATTTGTTTAAGCAAATCTTGTCTTAGAACTTATATAGAATTGTTTTCTATTCACTCTTTTCACTAACAATGTAAAATTGTTCTCAGATTTGGGCCCTTTTTTGGTGAAGGGATAATTGAAACTGACAGGATTGGTTGAGGATTAAATGAGCCACTCTAGGTGAGGTGCTCAAAACACAGTATGTGCTCAATAAATGATAGTTATTATCATCCAAGCAAAATACACGATCTGAAAGACTTTCTTCATCTAGAATTTATGGAAGTAAAAGTACAGAGGAATCCTCTTTCCTGGTTTACTTTTGACCCTAACATGAAACCTTCAGGCATTATCTAAATAAAATACTAATCTCCTGGACACAGTACTAGGCATCTTCATGGCATTTGCTACCTGTAGTTCCCTTCTTAATCTAATCAAATGTCTATACTCCCCACTACCTTCCCTTACCTCCAACACCTGACTCCAAAACTTTCAAGATTAACTTTTGTTTGCCTGGACTCTGTGTTGTCATATCATGTGATACTTAACATATCCTATTTGTTACTTGGTTTCTACTGAAAGCAATTCTCACCCGACTGATGTGCCCAGGAATCCCAAAATTCTGCAATAAATTATGTTAGAGTTCCCTGTACTTATTATTGGTTTCATATGTACAGTTGTAAACTAATGAGATGGCAAAACACACTGTTTAAATCATGGCTGGTGCAGCCAGATTGCCTGGGTTATAATTCTAGCTCTGTTGCTTTGCGTGACCTTGAGCGAGTTATTTAATGTCTCTGTGACAGAGTTTACTTTTCTGAATAAAGGGAATAATAACAGGCTTTACTTTCTAGGGTTGTTACGCAGAATAGATGGGGTAATATTTGTAGAGCACTTGAAATGGAGTGTGTCATATATGGAGTGCTTTGTTATCTCCAAGGCACAGAACATGTTACTTTCAACCTTCTCAATCATTCAAGGTAGATAAATTATTTACAGTGATGGGCAAGAGCTGGTACTTGCTTATGAGAGCTGAGTGCTAAATTATCAGAAAGTTTGCAAGTCAGTTAAACAGCCATTACTAAAAGTTAAATTATACAAATGTACAAATTATATTAAAAACAAAGACAACAAACTTTCAAATTTCATCACTTCCTAAGAATTTTACTACTATCTATGCTCTTTTTTTGTTGTTGTTTATTTATATTTTTTTTAGAGAGAGACATATCTCACTATGTTTCTCAAGCTGGTCTTGAACTCCTGGGATCAAGGGATGTTCCTGTCTTTGCTTCCCAAAGTATTGGGATAACAGATGTGAGCCACTGTGCCTGGCCTATCTATTCTCTTGAGGTTATTTATGTTTATTGTGCCTGTATGGTGGAAATAATGGGGTGATACTGTGAATCTCTTCCTAACTCTGCATTCTATGGCATCAAAATCAGTAGCTTGAATTCTGCTATGTGCAGCATTTATACAACAGAAATGCAACCGCTACAAATCAGGGCTTTTTATTTAGCAAATTTGTTATTTCACATTTATCTGTACATCACTGGATATTATTATCTCTTCTTTTAAGATGATCAAAGAGATTAAATGATTTGCCTAAAGCCACGCAGCTAGTAACTGGTAAAGCTGGGATTCAGGCCCAGATTTTGTTTGCTTGCTTGCTTTTTAAAAGAAAAACTTGCCAAAGCCCACATGCTTTCCATTCAATTACCCTCCAAATTGGAATAGGAATAATCAAACTGAGTAGGCCTTAGACACAGAAATGGAAAAGCTAACCCTTCTCTTCCCCATCCAGCTCTCTCGCCTTAACATACACACCCAACCCCCAGCCTACCCAATCCTGTGCAGAGCTGTAGTCATTCCTTTCTAGTCCCATTATCCTAACCCAGATTTGGAGATACCTTTCATTACCTATCTTGATTTGATCATCCAATTACTGCCTTGCTTTGCCCCACTTTTGCCCATTATCCCTTCTTCCCAGAATCTCCTTTCTTTTGTCCAAGGTTAAGATTAAACCCTTTCTTTCTAATACCTCTACCAATTTTCTATTTTCCTAGTTTGAGAAGGCTTGACACTGTAGTTAAGATTCCTCAAATGATCAGTGTCCTTAAACTTTTGATTAATGCAAACATCCATATAGAAAACTACATGTACATATCAAAAGTATATACCCCAAATCATTTCCACAAACTCAACACACCCATGTGTTAAAACACGTGCTCTGAATGAAGAGACCCCTTAAACAGGCTTTGTGTGAGCAACATGGCTGTGGCTGTTTATTCATGCAGGTACGGGCAGGCTGAGTCTGAAAGGAGATTAGCAGAGAGCAGAGTGATAGGAATTGGTTTTATAGGTTTGTGGTAGGCAGTGGAAAGTTACAGAAGTTACAGTTCAGGGCAGTTTTTGCAAGCTGGATGGGGGTCATAGGGTCTGGAGTCATGAGGTTGACCAAGGTCAATTACAAAGTCCGGTTGCTTTGCCAGTTGAGGTGGGAATAAAGAACAATAGAAGAATGTCTCAAAGTTAATTAGATGCCACAAGTGTTGATCATTTCTTCTCCTTTTATGGTTTTCCAGTTATTTCAGACTCTCTAATTCTAGAAGCTCATCTGGAGTATACGTGCAGGTCACAGAAGTTATAATGCCATCCATGGCACAGTCAGTCAGCCTAAAAGACCTTGCAACTCCCTTCCAGTTTCTACTCTCCCAAGGTAACCACTACTCCAGCTAGCTTATGCAACCCTAATATTGGCATGGCCATTGGATTGGGCTGGGTACTCTAAACAGTATGATTGATATAGGAGTTAAGAAGAAATCATTTAGGCAGATACTAAGGGTATGAGAGTCCACAATAAGACTTTTCTTTCTAATGAAAAGCAGACCCAAATCATTTCTAACAAAGAACAGCCTGTAAAATTGAGCTGCACACATAGACAAGCAAGCTGGGAGCTTGGATGGGTGAATGGCAACAGGAACCAGGGACTCGATATGTTCAAAATGGTGACACCATCTTCCCTTCTGTGTCAGTAAGGAGCAGACGAGATGGCCCTGGCCAATGAGAGTTTATTTGCGTCATAAGATTAGGGTGGGGCTACCAGCCTTCCCCCTGGGCTATGTAAATGTCATACCTGATCAAAGCAATGTGTGAGCCCTACATAAATTAGACACTACCTTCTTAAACTGGACTATAAAGTCTAGTGCATCTGCCAGCAGTGCTAGGAGACCCCTCTCTCTCTATAAAGAGAGCTGTTTCTCTTTCTCTATTAAACCTTCGCTATTAACCCTTCTCTCCTAATCTCTTTGTGTGTGTCAGTGTCCTAAATTTTCCTGGTGCCAGATGAGGAACCCCAGGGTATATACCCCAGAAAACGTAGCCACTTCATTGTCATCTGCTCCCTTTGGCATAGGGATAGTATCAAGACTTTTCCCTGGCCAATTATCTTGACTTACTTCCCACTTCTGTGGAGCACTGACAAGAGGTCTGAGTTCTGATCCCACAGCAACCACCTAATAATCCTGGAAAATCTACTCTCTTTGAGCTTCAGCAATTTAGTCTCTAAAATATGGACAATGACCAGGCCCAGTGGCTCACACCTGTAATCCCAGCACTTTTGGAGGCCAAGGTGGGCAGATCACTTGAGGTCAGAAATTCAGTACTAGCCTGGCGAACAAGGCAAAACTCCCTTTCTAACTAAAAATACAAAAATTAGCTGGATGTGGTGGTGGGCGCCTGTAATCCCAGCTACTCTGGAGGTGGAGGCACAAGAATCACATGAACCTGGGAGGCAAAGGTTGCAGTGAGCAGAAATCATACCACTGTACTCCAGCCTGGGCGACAGAGTGAGACTCCATCTCAAAAAATAAAATAAATAATAAAATGAAATAAAATATGGACAATATAATACATTTGCTATGAGGACTAAATGAAATATTACTTTCAAAGTACCTGGTACAGTGTGTTGGGTACATAATAGTGCAATAGCCAATGATTATAGATTTT